GTAGGGATTGGGGGGAATGGAGCGATCTTGATAACAAACGGCGCCTTTACGTCCAAGGATAAAGGAAAATAAGTATTTCTTACGTCAGGCGTTACGAAGGAATGGTGGCCGGTCGAGGGAGGAAGGGGGAGGTAGGGAGTAGGTCAGAGGGAGGAATGGAAGTAGGAGGTCAGGTGGTGATCGGGCTGAGGAAGGAAGGGGAGGGAGGAGATCGAGGGAAGGTGGTCAGACAGAGATCAGGCGAACGAAGGGGGCGAGCGAAGGGGAATGAGGCGGCCAGGCGGACGGAGGCCAGGGGGAGGTTAAAGAGAAGGTGAGGAGGAGGCCTGTAGGAGGTCAGGTGGAGACCGGGCCAAGGAAGGAAGGGGAGGAATGAGATTGGGGGAAGGAGGAGGAAGGTGCAAATTGGGCGGAGGAAGGAGTAGGACGGAGGAGATAGAGGGGAGGTCAGGCAGAGAAAGGAAAGGGAGTCAGGTGGCCAGGCGAGGGAGGGCAGAGGGAGGTTTAAGAGAAGGTCCAGAGGAGGCCGGGAGAAAAGGGAGGCGGAAGGGGTAGGGCGAAGGGAGGACAGAAAGCARAACGTAGTTCAGAGGTTGAGTGAMGTATGGAGGAAGGGAAGAGGTAAGGGGRAGACGAGCATGGGAAAAAGCGTGAAGAGGAAGAGGYGGAAGTGGAAGGAGGCCGRGAGGAACGGGAAAGACGRCAGGGTGAAGTCGGGCGGAGGGAGGGCAGAGGTTGGGTGGGGTACGGAGCAAGGGAAGAGGTCAGGTAAAGGTGGGGGGAGAGAGAGAGAGAGAGAGAGAGAGACATAAAGAGAGAGAGAGATGAGGGTTGAGGGAAGTCGGCAGCAGCCGGGAAGGTTAAAGGCTCGGGTAGGCTGTTTCTTTTTTTTCTTTTTTTTTTCTTTTTTGTTTGGTGTGTTGTCATATTCTCTATACACAACTCCAGCCACGTGGCGCAATCGGACTATCCACCGACTCATCAAGGGATTGACAGGTTGGAGGGGGGGATGGGGAGGCGGTGTTAGGGGAAGGTCGGGTGGAGTAAAGGGTTCCAAGCTCGAAGTCAAGGGGGGAGGGGAGAGAGAGGG